CCCCTTGTGGAACACTCCGGCAGACCAGGCTTGACCCTTTGGCGGGTCAACTTGGGGATGACCGGACTGAGAAGGAGTAGGGACGTCTGTTTGCCGAGATAACCCATCCGCATTCCCATTCTGCTTACCGGGTCGGTAGCTGATGGTGAAGTTGTAAGGCTGCAGTGCCAAACTCCACCTCAGCAGTCTGCCATTGTCTCCTGAGACCCGGTTAAGCCAGACAAGGGGGTTGTGGTCCGTTATAAGGGAAAACTCCTGCCCGTACAAATAAGGGCTCAATTTCTTCAGTGCCCAGACCAGGGCTAAACACTCTTTCTCCACTGCCGCATAACTTACTTCCCGGGGTAGTAACTTTCTGCTTAAGTATGCGACAGGGTGCTCTCCTCCATCTTCCCTGACCTGGCTTAGCACAGCCCCCAGTCCATACATGGAAGCATCTGTATGAACAAGAAAACGTTTGTTAGGGACTGGGGCAGCCAGGACAGGGGCATTTACAAGAGCCTGCTTAAGTGCTTGAAATGCGGCTTCACAAGCTGGAGACCACAGGACAGGCCCGAATCTTGTCCAGCACCACCCCCACGTGTACTAAATGGTCTTCCCAGGACTCACTGTAGACCGCAATGCCATCCAGGTATGCACATGCAAAGTCCTGGAAACCATCGAGGAGCCTATCCACCATATGCTGGAAAGTAGCCGGAGCATTCTTCATCCCAAATGGCATAACCTTAAACTGGTACAGGCCAAATGGGGTGACGAAGGCCGACTTAGGGATAGCATCCTCGGCCAGGGGGATCTGCCAATAACCTTTACACAGGTCAATGGTGGTCAGGTAGCGCCCCCTGGCAATGCGGTCTAATAACTCGTCTACCCGGGGCATAGGGTAGGCGTCAGTGGTGGTCCGCTCGTTGAGCCGCCTGTAGTACACACAGAACCAGGTGGTCCCATCTTTCTTAGGCACCAGAACTACAGGCGAGGCCCAAGGGCTGTCTGAGTGTTCGATAACCCCCAGCCTGGTCATCTCCTGTATCTCCTTCCGCATTCCTTCTCAGACTGCTTCAGGGATACGGTATGGGGGTTGTCGTAGGGGGTTCTGTCCGGGTGTCTCGACCTTGTGCACAGCTAGGGTAGTGTACCCAGGTTCTTGGGAGAACGTCGCCTGCTTCTCCCACAGCAGCTGTCTTGCCTGTACCTTCTCTGCCGGGTTTAGCCGGTCCCCCAGCTGTACAAGACTAGTAAGGTCTGTCTGGGGATCCCTCTCTAACAAGTCAGGTAAAGGTAAGTTCTCTGGGACGTCAGTAGCTGGGGCACATACTGCCGCAACATCCTCTGGTCTCTCCTGATACTCCTTCAGCATGTTCACATGGAAGGATCGCTGAATCCTTTCATCTGAACAGCTGGCTATAAGGTAGGTAGTATCACATACCTGAGCTAACACTTTATACGGGCCCTGCCAAGATGCTTGCATCTTGTTCGTCTTCACAGGCTTGAGTACCAGAACCTTCTGCCCAACCTGGAAGACCCGCTGTCGGGCACCCCAATCGTACCACCGCTTCTGTCTCCCCTGGGCCGCCTGGAGATTCTTCCTTACCAACAGGGATAGTTTCTCCATGCGGTCCCGGAGTTCCAGAACATATGGTTCTTGCTCTGTCTCCCCCTCCCAGTGTCCTCTAATGAGATCTAGGGATCCACGGACCCTTCTCCCATAGAGTAACTCAAAGGGGGAGAACCCAGTAGATTCCTGGGGCACCTCTCTGTATGCAAATAGCAGATGAGGCAGGAATCGCTCCCAATCTCTGCAAGTGTCAGTAAAGGTCCTCAACATCTGTTTGAGGGTGCCATTAAATCGCTCGCAGAGACCGTTAGTCTGTGGGTGATACGGTGAGCTAAGCAGAGGTTTAATACCGCACACCTTCCACAGCTGCTGGGTAAGCACAGCGGTGAACTGAGTTCCCTGATCGGAGAGAATCTCCTGAGGGAACCCGACCCTAGTGAAAATTTTAACCAGGGCATCAGCAACCGTCTCTGCCTCTATATTAGACAGCGCTACTGCCTCTGGATAACGTGTGGCATAGTCCACCATGGTGAGAATATACTTCTTACCTGATGGGCTAGCCCTGGCCAGTGGACCCACAATGTCAACGGCTATGCGGGAAAAGGGTTCTCCAATGATAGGCATCGACTGAAGCCTAGCTTTTGGGTGATCCCCCCGCTTACCTACCCGTTGACAGGTGTCACACGTGCTACAATAAAGCCGCACATCTCGGTTAAAATTGGGCCAGAAGAAGTTTTGTGTGATCCTATGAGCTGTGCGGTGGGAGCCTAGATGGCCCGCTAACGGCACATCATGCCCAATCCGCAGAATCTCCTGCCGGTATTTTGCAGGTACCACTTGCTGTCGATTCTGTGGAGGGGTACTCGGCTTCTGGGACGGTTTCGGGATCCTGTACAGTCTATCCCCCACCCACTCGTAGTGCTCCCCATCTACTCCTTCTCCCCCAGAATCGGCCCTGGCCCTGTACTTTGCTAGCGTTGGGTCTTCCCTGGTTTCCTTCCCGTACATCTCTGGGGTATCCCAGCCTAAAGGGGCCTGGTCTAAGGTACAAGTCGGGGTAGAGAGTCTTACCTGGGTCTCAGCAGCAGGTGGGCCGGTCTCGGCGGCACGGGTCTGGGCACGGGTCGTGACAGCATCCACTTCAGCGGGACCCATGGGAGCGAAGGCGGAAACAAGGGGCGCCAAGTCATTGCCAAGGAGAACATCCGCTGGTAAGTCCTTCATGACCCCCACATTCACATGTCTAGCGCCCACTCCCCAATCCAAATGTACCCGGGCAACGGGCAGACGAAACACGGCACCCCCGGCTACTCGCACTGCGACCGTGTCCCCGGTATGTTGGGCTTCGGATACCAGGTGCTTCTGGAGCAAAGTCATGGTTGCCCCGGTATCCCGTAGACCACTGACCTCCTTCCCGTTTACTTTCACACACTGCCGGTGGTGCTGTCTGTTATCCCGGTGGGCAGCCTGAACGGGGTCTGCCTCATGCAGGATGCCCCAGCACTCCTCTTCCTCTACACAGTGAGCGGCTGGGAGGGGAGGTCGTGGATTGCCGCCTGCTGGTCTCCTCCAGGACTGGTTCTGGTTGGCGCTGTTCATCGTGCACTCGGGTCGCTTGTGCCCTAGCTGCTGCTTGCACAGGTAGCACCGAATGGGTTGTATGTAGCTCTTCTCAGGTTCTGGTATTGTAATTCCATTTAGTCCTTGTTGTGGTGGTCTCTTTGGGCGCTGAGGATCATCCCGTCGCTTGCCACCAGTTGTTACAGTACCTCCAGTAATAAATGTGCAAACCGCCATTTAGTGAATGCTCCCCGTTCGCAATAATGTAGTCTGGTAGCGTGTGCAGTATAACCATGCGAACTGCCAGCTAGGGAACACTCCAAACTCCCGAACGGTACCTGTATGGCTCTTTCCCTTCACGAACTCCAAATCCACGAACTGACAATATTAGCCGAACGCCAATAGCTTCCAAGCGGCAAATAATCCAAATAAGCAGTCTCTAGGCGCCGGTAATAAAATCCCCCCAATAACGAGACCAAGCTCCGCTTTGAGGGTAAAACACGAACTGATTTACTGTGGGCTACCTGCCCGGTATTTATGCAGGTCTCCCACTTGGTGGACACTCCCCTAGGGGACCAAATGGGAGACTGGAATAACAGAAAGACATGGGGACATTTTGGACACACATCCCCACAATATTCCCATCATGCATCACAGTTCCCTCCCCTCTGCTCGGGAGATAATTGGGAAGTAATTCAATTATCTCCCCGAGCAGAGGCAAATCGCCATTTTAAGTACAAGTCACAAAACACATAAAAATCTATAACTTTATAACTGCCGAACATATTGCATTCGTGTAACATATCCCCAGATAGCCTGGATCTAAGTGTATATTATTGGTGAATAGCGCTCAGATCCCATTCGCATAGTTCAATCGCCATGGAGTCAAAGTCTGCTACAGTTCTTTGGTATGCAATTGACTCCATGGGACAGCTAGCTGGGTTAAGTCCATTCGTGTTGTTGAATCTCCCGAACGGCCGGCATTCGTATGCTTTTGTCGATTGAGAAGGGGAGGTCGACGGCTTCAGCGGTGTTCGGTTGAAAAAGTGTCCGTTTTTCAGATCCATGAAATAATCGTCGAACACCGCTGGTCTTTCGCATGGTTAAAATGGCCGCCGCCTCGTGGTCGACATACGAACGACGACCACCCGGCATTCGGTTTTAATTGAGAAGTGTCTGTGGTTAACCGCAACGTTCTAATTGGGATCAATAGGTTAACCAGCAGCACACTTCTCTTCTGGGTGGCCGTCCGTTCGGTAGTTCCGTTCGACAAAACTAGACATTCCCTAAAACAAAGCATACGAATGGGAGAATTCATGCAAACGGCAAAACAGGCGAACACAGTAATTTTAGTCCAGACAGATGGGTCTGTCACAGTTCGTATGAATAAACCCACGAATTAGCACTTTGTTCGTATGTTTCTAGTCGAACGCACTGAAGGTAGAAGTTCAGCGGTGTTCATGGAAAAAAGTAGCCAAAATCAGTTCAACGCGGTCGACGACCAAACACCGCTGAGTGCATTTGTCTAAACAAAATGGCTGCTGCCACGTGTTTGCACAAAAAAACGCCGGCCACTCTGTTAAACCATTAGAATGTGGAGGTGTTTGCGGTTTGCACAGGTCAAGAGGGTTAATTGGTGCCAAACTCCTGCTCTGGGTGGTGGGTCATTCAACAGAATATTCGGTAACCAAATGATTATGACCAAATGCACGATTAATCCATTTTAGTGAAGGCAAACAAACTAATAGTCTCTGTTCTATGTTCCATGCAGCAAATATATGTCTCGTACTTGGGAGGGATTATTTGTGTGTTTCCTGTTCGAGACTGGAAGGTGGGTAAGGGGGAGGGTTAGAGGCTGGAAGGTGGGGGAGAGGGAGGGTTAGAGTCTGGAAGGTGGGTGAGGGGGAGGTTAGAGTCTGGAAAGTCTGTGAGGGGGAGGGATAGAGTCTGGAAGGTGGGTGAGGGGGAGGGTTAGAGGCTGGGAGGTGGGTGAGGTTAGAGTCTTAGAGGTGGGTGGTTGGGTGCAGGGATACATGGGTGTATGGGGAGTGCAGGCTGGGGAGGAGCTGTAAGTTGAAAGCTTTCCTCTCTCTAAGCTTTACTCACATTCCATTAATCTAAGGACCAAGCAAGGTGGGTTTTTATTCTCTTTAATTTGCACCCACCTCCATTACCCCTACATTTTAAGTTAAGAGCCAGGAGAGGAGTGGAGGCTGGGTAAGGGGTACATGGAGAAGAGTGAAGGCTAGGTAGGGGGTACATGGATAGGAGTGGAGGCTGGGTAGGGGGTACATGGAGAGGAGTGGAGTGGAGTGGAGGCTGGGTAGGGGGTACATGGAGAGGAGTGAAGGCTAGGTAGGGGGTACATGGAGAGGACTGGAGGCTGAGTAGGGGGTACATGGAGAGGAGTGGAGTGGAGGCTGGGTAGGGGGTACATGGAGAGGAGTGGAGGCTAGGTAGGGGGTACATGGAGAGGAGTTGAGGCTGGGTAGGGGGTACATGGAGAGGAGTTGAGGCTGGGTAGGGGGTACATGGAGAGGAGTGGAGGCTGGGTAGGGGGTACATGGAGAGGAGTGGAGGCTGGGTAGGGGGTACATGGAGAGGAGTGGAGTGGAGTGGAGGCTGGGTAGGGGGTATATGGAGAGCAGTGGAGGCTAGGTAGGCTGGGTAGGGGGGTACATGGAGAGGAGTTGAGGCTGGGTATGGGGTACATGGAGAGGAGTTGAGGCTGGGTAGGGGGTACATGGAGAGGAGTGGAGCTGGGTAGGGGGTACATGGAGAGGAGTTGAGGCTGGGTAGGGGGTACATGGGGAGGAGTGGAGCTGAGTAGGGGGTACATGGGGAGAACTGGAGGCTAGGTATGGGGTACATGGAGAGGAGTGGAGTGGTGGCTGGGTAGGGGGTACATGGAGAGGAGTGAAGGCTAGGTAGGGGTTACATGGAGAGGAGTTGAGGCTGGGTAGGGGGTACATGGAGAGGAGTGGAGCTGAGTAGGGGGTACATGGGGAGAACTGGAGGCTCCGTAGGGGTAACATGGGGGAAAACTGGAGGCTGGGCAGGCAGTTAATTGAAAAGTGTTTTGTTTACATAATAGGTTTCATTGAATTGTATAAATATTGTTCATTTCCTTTCATTCCATTAATCTTGTTACAGAGTTGCAGTCATGTAACATTGCTATTAAACTCTCGTCACCTGCATAACTTACAATATACTATGTTACAAAACTATAGTTATTTTATGTATGTTATTATTTGCAGTAACATAAACTGCAGTGCAGTACAAAGACTATATGAACCAAATCAGTCATAAAATACAAGTGAAAAACAAGTGAAACCTAATCAAAGGAACTTACATTCTAATAAAAGTGGGGGCATAGGAAAGAGTTAAAGAACACAGTATGTGAGAGGGGAGTGAATGGCTGAACTTTGTACAGATCTAGTCACATGATACAGTGACACATACCATGGGAAATAAATCCTGCAAATAATGCTTGCACCATAACCACTACAGCACAGTACAGGTTTGTATCACCTTTATTGCAGCTTCTACAATAAAATAATAATTCGAAAATAGTGTTGGAGATTTAAAGCACATGGTATTGGAGCACACTATGGGCATGTAGGAGACTGACAGGGTGTAGGAGCACACTGTGGGCATGTAGGAGACTGACAGGGTGTAGGAGCACACTGTGGGCGTGTAGGAGACTGACAGGGTGTAGGAGCACACTGTGGGCATGTAGGAGACTGACAGGGTGTAGGAGCACATTGTGGGCATGTAGGAGACTGACATGGTGTAGGAGCACACTGTGGACATGTTGGAGACTGACAGGGTGTAGGAGCACACTATGGGCACATAGGAGGGTGTAGGAGCACATTGTGGGCATGTAGAAGACTGACAGGGTATAGGAGCACACTATGGGCATGTAGGAGTGGGCATGTAGGAGACTGACATGGTGTAGGAGCACACTGTGGGCATGTAGGAGACTGACATGGTGTAGGAGCACACTGTGGGCATGTAGGAATGGTGATGGTATGCACAAATCTAGCTGTAATTAGGAAGTATACTCTGGTCATGCAGCAAACTGAGAGTTTCGGGAGAGAGGAAATGTGTGCTGTGATGAATATTGGTGGTGTGGGGGTGAAGGAATCTTGAAACAGAATTCCTAGGGGAGGTTAGAGTCTGGAAGGTGGGTGAGGGGGAGGGTTAGAGTCTGGGAGGTGGGTGGTTGGGTGCAGGGAGACATGGGTAGGGGGTGTATGGGAAGTGCAGGCTGGGGAGGAGCTGTAAGTTGAAAGCTTTCCTCTCTATAAGCTTTACTCACATTCCATTAATCTAAGGACCAAGCAAGGTGGGTTTTTATTCTCAATAATTTGCACCCACCTCCAGTACCCCTAAATTTTAAGTTAAGAGTCAGGTGAGGACTGGAGGCTGGGTAGGGGATACATGGAGAGGAGTGGAGCTGGGTAGGGGGTACATGTAGAGGAGTGGAGCTGGGTAGGGGGTACATGGAGAGGAGTGGAGCTGGGTAGGGGGTACATGGGGAGAACTGGAGGTCAGCAGGGCAATACGGAGAGGAGCGGTGTAATGGGCAGTAAAGGCCATTGAGAGGAGCGATATCAAGAAGGCCACGGAGGAGATAGCCAGGTAGGTAAGGCCACGGGATATGGAGTGGATACTGGGTAGGGGCTACGGAGGAGTGGAGCGGAGGCCAAGAAGAGTGATGAATAGCCAGGGTGGCTGGGCACATGGAGAGTGATGGGATGGGTGGTCAGGGCAGGGGGGCACACGGAGGAGTGGAGTGAGGCTGGCAGGGGGCAACATGGAGAGGAGTGGGAATGGGTATGGGGCAAAACATGGAGGAGTGGAGTGGGTGGTTGGGGTAGGGGCACATGGAGATGAAGAATACATGGAGAGGAGTTGAGGCTGGGTAGGGGGTACATGGAGAGGAGTGGAGCTGAGTAGGGGGTACATGGGGAGAACTGGAGGCTCCGTAGGGGTAACATGGGGGAAAACTGGAGGCTGGGCAGGCAGTTAATTGAAAAGTGTTTTGTTTACATAATAGGTTTCATTGAATTGTATAAATATTGTTCATTTCCTTTCATTCCATTAATCTTGTTACAGAGTTGCAGTCATGTAACATTGCTATTAAACTCTCGTCACCTGCATAACTTACAATATACTATGTTACAAAACTATAGTTATTTTATGTATGTTATTATTTGCAGTAACATAAACTGCAGTGCAGTACAAAGACTATATGAACCAAATCAGTCATAAAATACAAGTGAAAAACAAGTGAAACCTAATCAAAGGAACTTACATTCTAATAAAAGTGGGGGCATAGGAAAGAGTTAAAGAACACAGTATGTGAGAGGGGAGTGAATGGCTGAACTTTGTACAGATCTAGTCACATGATACAGTGACACATACCATGGGAAATAAATCCTGCAAATAATGCTTGCACCATAACCACTACAGCACAGTACAGGTTTGTATCACCTTTATTGCAGCTTCTACAATAAAATAATAATTCGAAAATAGTGTTGGAGATTTAAAGCACATGGTATTGGAGCACACTATGGGCATGTAGGAGACTGACAGGGTGTAGGAGCACACTGTGGGCATGTAGGAGACTGACAGGGTGTAGGAGCACACTGTGGGCATGTAGGAGACTGACAGGGTGTAGGAGCACACTGTGGGCATGTAGGAGACTGACAGGGTGTAGGAGCACACTGTGGGCATGTAGGAGACTGACAGGGTTTAGGAGCACACTGTGGGCATGTAGGAGACTGACAGGATGTAGGAGCACACTGTGGGCGTGTAGGAGACTGACAGGGTGTAGGAGCACACTGTGGGCATGTAGGAGACTGACAGGGTGTAGGAGCACACTGTGGGCATGTAGGAGACTGACAGGGTGTAGGAGCACACTATGGGCACGTAGGAGGGTGTAAGAGCACATTGTGGACATGTAGGAGACTGACATGGTGTAGGAGCACACTGTGGGCATGTAGGAGACTGACAGGGTGTAGGAGCACACTGTGGGCATGTAGAAGACTGACAGGGTATAGGAGCACACTATGGGCATGTAGGAGACTGACAGGGTGTAGGAGCACACTGTGGTCATGTAGGAGACTGACAGGGTGTAGGAGCACACTGTGGTCATGTAGGAGACTGACAGGGTGTAGGAGCACACTGTGGGCATGTAGGAGACTGACAGGGTGTAGGAGCACACTGTGGGCATGTAGGAGACTGACAGGGTATAGGAGCACACTATGGGCATGTAGGAGACTGACAGGGTGTAGGAGCACACTATGGGCATGTAGGAGACTGACAGGGTATAGGGGCACACTGTGGTCATGTAGGATACTGACGGTATAGGAGCACACTGTGGGCATGTAGGAGACTGACAGGGTGTAGGAGCACACTGTGGGCATGTAGGAGACTGACAGGGTGATGGAGCACACCGTGGTCATGTAGGAGACTGACAGGGTGATGGAGCACATTGTGGGCATGTAGGAGACTGACAGGGTATAGGAGCACACTGTGGGCACGTAGGAGGGTGTAGGAGCACATTGTGGTCATGTAGGAGACTGACAGGGTGATGGAGCACATTGTGGGCATGTAGGAGACTGACATGGTGTAGGAGCACACTATGGGCACGTAGGAGGGTATAGGAGCACACTGTGGGTATGTAGGAGACTGACATGGTGTAGGAGCACACTGTGGGTATGTAGGAGACTGACAGGGTGATGGAGCACATTGTGGGCATGTAGGAGACTGACAGGGTGTAGGAGCACACTATGGGCATGTAGGAGGGTGTAGGAGCACATTGTGGGTATGTAGGAGACTGACATGGTGTAGGAGCACACTATGGGCACGTAGGAGGGTGTAGGAGCACACTGTGGGCTTGTAGGAGACTGACAGAGTGTTGGAGCACACTGTGGGCATGCAGGAGACTAAGAGGGTGTAGGAGCCCACCGTGGTCATGTAGGAGACTGACAGGGTGATGAAGCACATTGTGGGCATGTAGGAGACTGACAGGGTGTAGGAGCACACTATGGGCACGTAGGAGGGTGTAGGAGCACATTGTGGGCATGTAGGAGACTGACGGGGTGTTGGAGCACACTGTGGGCATGCAGGAGACTGACATGGTGTAGGAGCACACTGTGGGTATGTAGGAGACTGACAGGGTGTAGGAGCACACTGTGGTCATGTAGGAAACTGACAGGGTATAGGAGCACACTGTGGGCATGTAGGAGACTGACAGCGTATATGAACACACTGTGGGCATGTAGGTGACTAACAGGGTGTAGGAGCACACCGTGGTCATGTAGGAGACTGACAGGGTGATGGAGCACATTGTGGGCATGTAGGAGACTGACAGGGTGTAGGAGCACACTATGTGCACGTAGGAGGGTGTAAGAGCACATTGTGGACATGTAGGAGACTGACATGGTGTAGGAGCACACTATGGGCACGTAGGAGACTGACATGGTGTAGGAGCACACTGTGGTCATGTAGGAGACTGACAGGGTATATGAACACACTGTGGGCATGTAAGAGACTGACAGGGTGTAGGAGCACACTGTGCTCATGTAGGAAACTGACAGGGTATAGGAGCACACTGTGGGCATGTAGGAGACTGACATGGTGTAGGAGCACACTATGGGCACGTAGGAGGGTATAGGAGCACACTGTGGGTATGTAGGAGACTGACATGGTGTAGGAGCACACTGTGGTCATGTAGGAGACTGACAGGGTGTAGGAGCACACTGTGGGCATGTTTGAGACTGACAGGGTGTAGGAGCAAACTGTGGTCATGTAGGAAACTGACAGGGTATAGGAGCACACTGTGGGCATGTTGGAGACTGACAGGTTGTAGGAGCACACTGTGGCCATGTAGGAGACTGACAGGGTGTAGGAGCACACTGTGGGCGTGTAGGAGACTGACAGGGTGTAGGAGCACACTGTGGTCATGTAGGAGACTGACAGGGTGATGGAGCACATTGTGGGCATGTAGGAGACTGACAGGGTATAGGGGCACACTGTGGGCATGTAGGAGACTGACAGGGTGTAGGAGCACACTGTGGGCATGTAGGAGACTGACAGGGTGTAGGAGCACACTGTGGGCATGTAGGAGACTGACAGGATGTAGGAGCACACTGTGGGCGTGTAGGAGACTGACAGGGTGTAGGAGCACACTGTGGGCATGTAGGAGACTGACATGGTGTAGGAGCACACTGTGGTCATGTAGGAGACTGACAGGGTATGGAGCACATTGTGGGCATGTAGGGAGACTGACAGGGTAATAGAGCACACTATGGGCATGTAGGATACTGACGGTATAGGAGCACACTGTGGGCGTGTAGGAGACTGACAGGGTGTAGGAGCACACTGTGGTCATGTAGGAGACTGACAGGGTGATGGAGCACATTGTGGGCATGTAGGAGACTGGCAGGGTATAGGGGCACACTGTGGGCATGTAGGAGACTGACAGGGTGTTGGAGCACTCTGTGGGCGTGTAGGAGACTGACATGGTGTTGGAGCACACTGTGGTCATGTAGGAGACTGACAGGGTGTTGGAGCACACTGTGGTCATTTAGGAGACTGACAGGGTATAGGGGCACACTGTGGTCATGTAGGAGACTGACGGTATAGGAGCACATTGTGGGCATGTAGGAGACTGACAGGGTATAGGAGCACACTGTGGGCACGTAGGAGGGTGTAGGAGCACATTGTGGTCATGTAGGAGACTGACAGGGTGATGGAGCACATTGTGGGCATGTAGGAGACTGACATGGTGTAGGAGCACACTGTGGGTATGTAGGAGACTGACGGGGTGTAGGAGCACACTGTGGGTGTGTAGGAGACTGACAGAGTGTAGGAGCACACTGTGGGCATGTAGGAGACTGACAGGGTGTAGGAGCACACTGTGGGCATGTAGGAGACTGACATGGTGTAGGAGCACACTGTGGGCATGTAGGAGACTGACAGGGTGTAGGAGCACATTGAACGGTGTTGGAGCACATTTTGGGCATGTAGGAGGCTGACAGGGTTTAGGAGCACACTGTGGGCATGTAGGAGACTGACAGGGTGTAGGAGCACACTGTGGGCATGAAAGAGACTGACGGGGGAGCACACTGTAGGAGCACACTGTGGGTGTGTAGGAGACTGACAGGATGTTGGAGCACACAGTGGTCATGTAGGAGACTGACAGGTTGTTGGAGCACACTGTGGGCATGTAGGAGACTGACAGGGTGTAGGAGCACACTGTGGGCATGTAGGAGACTGACAGGGTGTAGGAGCACACTGTGGGTGTGTAGGAGACTGACAGGGTGTAGGAGCACACTGTGGGGATGTTGGAGACTGACAGGGTGTAGGAGCACACTGTGGGCATGTAGGAGACTGACAGGGTATAGGAGCACACTGTGGGCATGTAGGAGACTGACAGGGTATAGGAGCACACTGTGGGTATGTTGGAGACTGACAGAGTGTTGAAGCACACAGTGGGCATGTAGGAGACTGTGGGTGTGTAGGAGACTGACAGGGTGTAGGAGCACACTGTGGGTGTGTAGAACACTGACAGGGTGTAGGAGCACAATGTAGGCATGCAGGAGACTGACAGGGCATTGGAACACTAGGAACGCTACGGAATATGCTGTTGCTATAGAAATACCAGTAATAATAAACACCAGTAATAATAGGCGACTGACATGGTATTGGAGCACACTGTGGGAGATAATTATACAAAAAGTAATTTTTTATTAATTCACAATATCCAGAGCATTACTATACTGGCTATAATCACTAGCGCTTATAAGAGCTACATAGCCAGACCTGCTCTTTGGAAGGGGAGTTGCCCACCCACTGGAAGCTGGATCCTTGTCTTACATCCAGGGTGGATGGAGGACAGCGAGACCCCAACCAAGCTGCAGCGGCTATGGGGCTACGGTACTAATGGTGTCCAGTGCAGTGCTTATAGTACTCAAGGCGACCAGGAAGCAGCGATTAGCGGAGGCACCCAGTCGGGGTGCCATGCGGTCCATCATATGGACCATTCGATTCATCGAGGCGTCGATTTAAAAGAGTTTAATTTGGACAAACTGGATGAAATTATTTTTGCACAAATCTAACATAAACTACTTAAAGGACCACTATAGTGCCAGGAAAACATACTCGTTTTCCTGGCACTATAGTCCCCTGAGGGTGCCCCCACACTCAGGGACCCCCTCCCGCCCGGCTCTGGAAGGGGGAAAGGGTTAAAAACTTACCTTTTTCCAGCGCTGGGCGGAGAGCTCTCCTCCTTCTCTCCTCCTCCTGGGCTGAATGCGCACGCGCGGCAAGAGCTGCACGCGCATTCAGCCCTTTCACATAGGAAAGCATTTACAATGCTTTCCTATGGACGCTTGCGTGCTCTCACTGTGAAAATCACAGTGAGAAGCACGCAAGCGCCTCTAGTGGCTGTCAATGAGACAACCACTAGAGGATTAGGGGGAAGGCTTAACCAATTCATAAACATAGCAGTTTCTCTGAAACTGCAATGTTTATAAAAAAAATGGGTTAACCCTAGAAGGACCTGGCACCCAGACCACTTCATTAAGCTGAAGTGGTCTGGGTGCCTAGAGTGGTCCTTTAAAGGGACATATATCACTTTGAGATAGCCATCTCATTTAAATGCATTAGCTTGGAATGAAACAGTTGCATAACTCTGCAGACTGAAGAAAACAGGTAAATGTGGTTTTGTCCTTATATTTTATCGTCTTCTTTCTTTCTTTATGCTTTCCAAACACACTTCCAGGGAAGACCCTGATTTATCCAATCAGTGTCCTATCCCTAGGAATGCTTAACAGTGCCTTTGGCATATTGACAGATTGACACATGTGCAGTTGGAAGATCTGTTCACCTTGTAACATCCTGACAGGGGAGACGAGAGGGAGTCTGAATGTTGGCTTTCTCTCGTTTCTGTCATTAGTGTCAGGATTACTAGTTCATCCAGCATGCAGAATTATATCACACCTAGGACTAAATGTAACGTCTTATTGGGCCTTAGAATGGCCGAACTTAACTTACCAGAGAATAGTCAGAATACATGCTGCGGTCAGGCACAAAGAAGGAGACACAACGATGAGGGAAAGGCAAAAGTCAAGGATACCAGAATCCAGGGAAGTCAAAATTAAGCCAAAGTTAATAACCAGAATTAAACGATCAGGAACACACTCTCGGATAACCAAGTAAGGGAAACCACGACAGAGCACTGAACAAAAGGTAATTTGGGTTTAAATAACCCTCCTTAGTCTGTAATTGGCTGTCTCTGCCCTCTGACCTCAAAATGTACGTGCGCGTCTATGACGTCAGCGCCATCTTTGATACGGGCGCAGGTAAGTTCACAAAACAACGTAAATACAGTTTCAAGGATCGGTTAGCCCTTTCAGCCGTACCATTAGTTTGGGGATGGTAAGAGGAAGAAAATGATAATTCAATACTCAGCTGTTTGCTAAAAGCGCTCCAAAATCGAGACACAAACTGAGAACCCCTGTCAGACATAATATTTTGAGGAATACCATGTAGTCTGACAATGTCGCATATAAATATCAAAACCAGATCTTGTGAAGATGGCATTTTTTTGAGTGGAATAAAATGAGCCATCTTGGAAAAACAATCAACCGCCATAAGGATTGTGGTATGACCATTAGAACTCGGAAGTGCCACGATGAAATCCATGGACAATAGGGACCATAGAACACTAACAATCTACACGGACGTTTATGAGGAACCTTAGAAACTGCACACAGAGAACAGGCCTCCACATATTCTTTGATATCGCTATTTAAATAATAAAATAATAATAATAATCTCTCCTGAGTGAATCCCACCAAAAAGATCTAGAGACAGCGCATATGGTTTTATTAATGCCTGGATGCCCAGCAGTCACATTGTCGTGGAATACTCTCAAAACTTCCTTTCTTTCAGTCAATGGAATAAACAATTTTTCCAGAGGTTAATTACAAGGTGCCTGGGATTGAGCCGCCATTATAGCACAAAGCAGAGGGGATGACAAGGAAAGGACAGTGGATGCAATGATACACTCAAGTGGAACGATTGGGAATATCTCTTGTTCTTGTTCAGTTTCAATGTCAAACTATCTAGATAAGGTGTCAGCTTTAACATTTTTGGGACCAGGTCAATAAGTGATAATAAAGTTAAAGCGAGATAAGAACAAAGAACATCTTGCCTGTCTAGAAGACAGTAGTTTAGCAACACCAATATATACCAAATTTTTGTGATCAGTTATGATCAAAAGGGGATCCTTGGAACCCTCTAAAAGATGTCACATTCTGTTAGCGCTAGTATAATGGCCATTGTCATAATTATGCTCTGCTGGAGACAACTTTCTAGAAAAGTACCCACAGGGATGCAAAGGGGTATCCTGACTCTCCCTCTGAGAAAGAACAGCCCCCACCCCTGTCTCAGAGGCATTAACCTCCAGTATGAAGGATTTGCTTGTGTCAGGATGTACCAAAATGTCAGCAGAAGCGAATAATTTTTTAAGAAGTTCAAAAGCTTCTCTAGCTTCTTTAGACCATACCGTACAACTAGCCCTCTTGTGTGTCATATTGGTGATGGGGGCTATTACAGAAGAGAAACCTTTGGTGAATCTCCTTTAGTAATTAGCAAAACCAATAAAACTTTGAATGGATTTTAACCCATTAGGTAAAGGCCAGCGTAGAACAGCCTCTAGTTTACGAGGATCCATTTGGAAACCAGAGGCAGAGATGTTATACTCCAAAAACTGTACCTCAGTCTGGTCAAAGATGCATTTACCAACTTTGCAATAAAGACCATTTTCAAGCAAAGTTTGCAGTACTTGTTTGACATGTTTGTGATGAGTCTGGAGGTCAGGGGAATAAATAAAGATATCATCCAGGTATTCTAGAACAAAAGAATAAATATAGTCTATGAGCACATCATTAATGAAGTCCTGAAATACGGCCGGGGCATTACATAAACCGATAGGCATGGCAAGGTATTCATAGTATCCACTTCTAGTGTTAAATGCCGTTTCACACTCATGATCTTCCTTAATTCTTTCCAAATTGTACGCACTCCTGAGGTCAAGTTTAGTAAATACCTTAGCACCCTGGAGCCTGTCAAACAATTCGGAGATAAGAGGAATGGGAGAAGCATTTTTTTATGGTGATCTTGGTTAAAGCCCTGTAATCAATGCATGGGCGTAATTCGCCATCTTTATTGGATACAAAATGAACCCTGCTCCAGCAGGTGAGGATGACTTAAGTATGTGGCCTTTATTTAGAGAATCTTTGATGTGCTCATCCATGATACTACTCTTCTGTGGGGATAGAGCATATATTGCCCCCTTAGGGTAGCAGATCTGTGGAGCAATCATATGATCTGTGAGGAGGTAGAATATTAGTCTGACTCTTACTGAACACCTCTTTAACTCCCCAGTATTGTATGGGAACTTCGGAGGTCTGAGGCATAGTAGTGGGTAATGTAATGATGCCCACTCTTTTGGTAATGGGTAACATACATCTCTCTACACACCCCATTCCAGTATTTTTCCCTTAGCCCAGTCAATATGAGGATTGTGCTTAATGAGCCAAGGAAATCTTAATATGATGGGACAAGAAGGAGAAGCACTCAGTAAAATAAATAATAATAAACAATTAACCTCTTCCTTCCCTCTCCCTCTCTCTCCATATGTACTTATCCGATCGCCACCGTTCCCCCGCCGTCGATCGTTCTTCTTCTATGGGGGGACTGTTTGACAGCCTAGACAGTCCCCCCTCTGCATGGCCGTCACATGGCGGTGATAGGTGTCCATATAGATGTCAGCAGGGGGCTGCCTGAAGTGACAGGCAGTCCCCCTACTGGTAAAAAATGTTTTAAAAAAGTTTCAAAATACAAATATGTTAATAAAAAAATATATATATATATACACACACACACATAATATATATATATATATATATATATATATATATGTATCTTATATATAATGTCATACTAAGTGTATTTTTATACTAAGTGTAATTTTTTATTAATATATACATATATTAATATAAAAATATACTTAGAGTAAAATTACACATGTGTATATATATAATAACTATAATATATATATTATAGAAAATAAATAATCAATTAAAAATAAATAAAAAAAGTAAAAACAGTAAAAAAATGATATATTATATATATATATATATATATACGATACCAGTAGAGAGCATTCAGGAGTCTTTGAAGGTAAATTTAATCTGTTGCTTTATCGAGCAATTACAAATTCACACAATGTTCCAGTCGACATTTCAGTCTGTAAAAGACTGAAAAAAAGTATTTTACAGACTGAAACGTCGACTGGAAAGTTGTGTGAATTTGTAATTGCTCAATAAAGCAACAGATGAAATTTACTTTGAAAGACTCCTGAGTGATCTCTACTGGTATCGTATACAATTTGGTTGGAGACAGCACCGGAGCATTAAAAGACCGAGAGCATTGAGTGCTGGGACCTGGGACATGTATATATATATGTAATTTTATTCTAACTGTATTTTGATAATATATAAATATATATATATATATCTCAAAATACACTTAGAATAAAATTATATATATCTATGTATATATAAATAAATAAAATAATATGAAATATACATAATTACATAAATATACATGCTGAGTTCAAATATATAAATATGTATATATATTTAAATTCTGCATGCATATTTATGTAATATTTTTAGTAATTTTATTGATTGCAATTTGAGGGACCTGCCTGACAACCCAGGCCGAAAGTCCAGAGAATTCAATTTGCTAGCACTATATTTAACCCTGTAACATTCCAAAACACCTGTACTGTTTTACTCGGTAGTAAAATGGTTGCATGAAAAGAGCCAAAATACCCCAAGTTTAATACCGTAAGTTGTCTTCTTTTAAAAAAGAAATACATGTGAAGGGTTATTCAGGGGTTCCTCACAGATATCAGTGTTACAATGTAACTTGCGTTCATTTTGAAAACAAAAATGGTTTGGAAATAGCAAAGTGCTACTTGTACTTATTGCCCTATAACTTGCAAAAACAAACAAAAACATGTTAACATTGGGTATTTCTAAACTCAGGACAAAATTTAGAAACTATTTAGCATGGGTGTTTTTGGGCAGTTGTAGATGCGTAGCATATTTTGGGAGTCAACGTTCAAAAAAGTGTGCTTCTTAAAATATTTTCATCAATTTTTTTCTGATTTTTTTTATAGTAAATTATATGATATGATGAAAATAATGGTATCTTTAGAAAGACCATTTAATGGCAAGAAAGATGGTATATAATATGTGTGCGTACAGTAAATGAGTAAGAGGAAAATTACAGCTAAACACAAACTCAGAAGAAATGTAAAAACAGCCCTGGTCCCAAATGGTAGGAAAATGTAAAAGCGGTCTGGTCACTAAGGGGATAAGGAGACTTTCTTGCTGATAACCGAGAAGCTTTGCAAATGTACAATGCATGCACAGCTAATGCTGTGGGCCAACAATCCAAAGCACTGGACACGCACTCAGCGTCTGACAGTGAAATTCAATGCATGCCGGCACGGGAAGTAAAATAGAATAAATGAGATCATCTGTTTTAGTCTGTGGACCCCAAGTGGCTCTCTGTTCGACAGCCACAGGGGTGATGGGATTGCATCACCTGAAAATAGTGCTGAATCTCAGAAACAGTCCTATTGTCAGCTACTACTATAGGCCAGTAAGCCTTACTTCAGTAGTGGGGAAAGTGATGGAAACCATGTTAAAGGATAGGATTGTTGAACATCTAAAAACACATGGATTTCAAGATCAGAGACAACATGGGTTTACTTCAGGGAGATCATGCCAAACTAATCTTATTGATTTTTTTGATTGGGTAACTAAAATTATAGATCAGGGTGGTGCAGTAGACATTGCTTACCTAGATTTCAGTAAGACTTTTGACACTGTTGCACATAGAAGGCTTATCAATAAACTGCAATCTTTAAGTTTGGATTCCAATATTGTTGAATGAGTAAGGCAGTGGCTGAGTGACAGGCAACAGAGGGTTGTAGTTAATGGAATATATTCGGTACCTCAGGGATCTGTACTTGGACCCATTCTCTTTAATATTTTTATTAGTGATATTGCAGAAGGTCTTGAAGGTAAGGTATGTCTTTTTGCTGATGATACTAAGATATGTAACAGTGTTGATGTTCCAAGAGGGATAAGCCAACTGGCAAATGATTTAGGTAAACTAGAAAAATGGTCAGAATTGTGGCAACTGACATTTAATGTGGATAAGTGCAAGATAATTGTGGTGAGGTACTGGCCCCTGGCCATTTTGTTTAGGAGCTCATCTATCCGGGGCATAGAGTAAGCGTCGGAGATCGTTTTGTCGTTGAGCCTCCGGTAGTCTACACAGAAACGGGTCGTCCCGTCCTGTTTCGGTACTAGCACTACCGGGGAGGCCCAGGAGCTGTCAGAATGTTCTATCACCCCTAACTGCAACATCTCATCAATCTCCTTACGCACGCTTTCCTTTACTGGTTCATGGATTGCGGGATAAAACTTACCAGGAAAGGTTAAAGGATCTTAACATGTATAGCTTGGAGGAAAGACGAGACAGGGGGCATATGATAGAAACATTTAAATACATAAAGGGAATCAACACAGTAAAGGAGGAGACTATATTTAAAAGAAGAAAAACTACCACAACAAGAGGACATAGTCTTAAATTAGAGGGACAAAGGTTTAAAAATAATATCAGGAAGTATTACTTTACTGAGAGGGTAGTGGATGCATGGAATAGCCTTCCAGCTGAAGTGGTAGAGGTTAACACAGTAAAGGAGTTTAAGCATGCGTGGGATAGGCATAAGGCTATCCTAACTATAAGATAAGGCCAGGGACTAATGAAAGTATTTAGAAAATTGAGCAGACTAGATGGGCCGACTGGTTTTTATCTGCCGTCACATTCTATGTTTCTATGCAAGGCAGCTACAAGGGGCAATATGTATCCTTTCAAATCACTGCACTACAATGAAGTGATTATGGTGCTTACACTGTCTTTCTCTCTTAAATAAAATTACTGGGAAATCTAATGTATAGTTATAATGTGATCAACAGGGAGTGGCTTCCTGCTCTGAAAGGGCGGATTATTTTAGAGGACACTGTTCCCTACAGGGTCAATTACGCCGTCTGAGGGACCAGCTGTACAAAGCGTCCGTTAGCATTAACACTTTGTCTTCCAGGTGGCTATATAACAATCTTTAACATAACTATATAAAAGAAGTAGAGAAGTTCTCATCTCTCAGCTGATCACGAAGACCCCTATTTATTAATATCTGTTTCCAGTTTAAAATAAAGGGATTTTTATTGCTTTACTGTAAATATAAGACATTATTGCGATTTGAAAGGTGATACACATGATTTCATTTTCTTTGTCTTCTATGATTGGACAGATTGGTAGAAATGGGTGGCATTGAGCAGCTTGCTGATAGTGATGTCGTACGAGCCTACGGCACGTATGTGACCATCGTGCTCCTAAAAATGATGGTGATGAGTGTGATCACTGCTTTCTTCAGACTAACAAGAAAGGTAAGAATCTGAATAAATCGAAGTGAAATGTGTCGTACGCCAGGGAAATGGCTTGTATTCGTGTTAATGATATGTGCAATAAGGGCATTCACCCATGTCGCTCTTTGGATTAGGAAGTTCAGCCCTGCTTTGTACACATTACCTGTAGTGCTTAATAGCTTTTATTTTAATTGGTCGCATTTAGTTTAATCTGTGCGGCGAGCGCTGCCCTCTAGAGGTGATTTCTCAGTATTTAAACGCAGGGCTTACTTTTCTCAATTACAACAATTTCAGCCAAAATGTATTTCTTCCAAGAGTAATTTCCGAGGTGTTTATTGAGCCCATGCACTCGCTATCAGGGAATGATTGTGCATGGGTTCTGGACCTGCATGTGCCTCATAATATATTATTATTTAAAGTGCTAGATACCAGGCTCCTTCATCTACAACAGTTTTCAGGGGAAGGTTATAGGACAACATACTTATAATCCAAATATAATTTGTTTCTGTCTGTCTAAGGGTACATAACATTACTGTAATCATCTCAAATTAAAATACATTGAATTGGTCACATCATATGACCATGCCTTATTAAGCCACTACAATGGCACAGTACTCCAAAATATTAAATGATTAGAACACTCTTAGAATTAGTAGAACTGTTTTGGGCTTTAAAATATCATTCTATATACCTCTTGTTGTGAAGGTTTTTGCCAACCCTGAGGATGCAATGTCGAGTAGCAAAGGTGGAGATCCCAAGAAATTTGTGAGGACTGACCCAGATGTTGAACGAGTTCGCAGGTATTAAATGATGCTCCTGATCTCTATGTTAAGCATGTCTTGTTTACAAGTTATTGAACTGGGGGGATATCACATTTCTAAGCTATTCACAGGTCACTTTACAAGATCATGGCAGCAATTTTTTTTTTGGCATTGTGGTAAACATGCCAGCTGCTGGATCGGTCTTACCAGCACACACTGCTTCCATAAGAAACCAGATGTGGTGGAACAGACCTCTTCTTGTTCTTGGAGGGGGCTGCTTGCCCGCCTCCTACCTTCTGACTATGGCCCTGGGATATATGGCATTTGAAAACACTATTTGTGCCCTGTGACAAAACTGGAGATTGTGCACAAATATGACTATTGTCCATATTTTTTATGATTCCCTTCGTTTGTTGCACTGTTCCCCATGTGTTTCATCTGTTGGTCCGGCTGGATAGACTACCAGACAAACTGTGGAGTTACTGGGTGGCCACCAATTCATGTATCAGAGACACATGGTGAGAACAATGGATGAAGCACATGGTGAGAACAATGGATGGCGGCCATTTTAACTCACAGACACTGTTTGGACTTTTCTACACGGTGCTATCTCGCCGGTATTTGGTGCACAAAGACATCGTGCAGTAGTTTTAAACTATACAACAGGGGACACATTATACAGTAATTATTTTTCATATAGCCTGTATATGTTCTGCGGAATCTGCATTAAACTGTATCTTCCAAACTACTGAATGGATCTGGGTGAATTTTGGATATGTGTTTCACCCAGATCCCCCGGTTCCGAGGATATACGTTATGGGGTTATTGCATGTTTTGGGCTCCCTGTGATATGTTTTATAATACTGTATTTCTCTGCCTGTGATAATTATATTAACCATTGTGTTCAGTAATCATATCACAGGCAGAGGGGAGGTTTTGTGTGGGAGTGTCTGTGTGTATTGTACAGATGGATTGGTTGTATTGCAAAACCCTGTGGGCAGTACTATGTTTGTGGATTGTGAATAAAAGAGGCTGTATGTGCCAGTGCAGTCAGTTCTGCTTGACCTCAAAACGAAGTGTCGTCTCGTTATTGGGGGAATTGGATTGTATGCTGATTGCCAGGAGTGTAAGCTGATTGTATGGTTTTCCTGTTCAGCTGCTTATAACATTCATATGCTTGAGAGCATTCGTATGCTTCTCCGGTTCGGTGGTTGTGGTGTCTGCTGCAGTGCTTGGAGTCCTCAGGAAGCGCTAGGAGCATCCTTCAACGGATGAACCCAGTCGGGGTGCCAGGTGATCTGTTACACCAGAGAACACAGTGGCTTTTCCTGGGCCACAGAAAACCTACGCATGATATGCAGCGTAAATTCTATTAAATTCTAACTGGACCAGTCACAAGATCAGAGCCAGATGTACATTTCATAAATTTGTTCTCTCCTCCTGTACTTTAGTAGCATTCATCTTTTCCTCTCTTCCGCGCTGTACTAATGTTACCGGAGGAAAAACAGGAACAAACCTCAGAAGCCACACATAGAGATATGGACACAAGCCTTCAGGAAGTAACCAGTCTTTTATTTACACACTGAGCGGGTCTCAGATGAACTCCTGTTCCAAAAATATCTGAGAGGCAGAAAGCATGGTGCAGAGGCCTTTTGTTAGCAACATATCCCCCCCCCCATACAGTATAACCCCTCCTATATTCAGGATCACCTTATATGGGCAGACCACATGGCATTTACAGACAAAGGAATGTACTATCCAATTCCACACATGCTCAGTACACTGATGACTCATCCAACTGTTTGTAATCAGATACTAATTATCATATGCCATGTGGAGATTTCGGCCTACTAAATGTTGACCATGCTGGAATCCCATCACATTCCCCCCTTTGATGCCTCTGATACAAAGTTATACAAGATGCATCACAAACCATAATTTGCCAACACCACTCAAGTAGGCATTGGACCAGAACAGACCTTGTAAGCATCTTAGCATCATCACAAACTCCTTCAGCATTCCTTATCCTGAATATGTTCTCTTTGGGCTAGGGATTCATATCTATAGACAGCCATTACATGAGCAGCTGTCTTTCTTTCTATAGTACTCTCTATGATACTACGTATAGATCTGACCACTAATGGGATTAGGCAGGGCAGAAAGAGACATAAGAATATAATAAATACTACTCCTCCTATTAATGCCTTAATCCCTCCAAGCTGCTCATACCAACTTCCAAACCAACTACTAGGATTATACCCATTGCAGACCTGAGTAGGTACATGCGTCAGTTTAACCATGTTGCTAGTAATGTCAACCACTGCCTGCCCTTCATCATCTATGTGCAGACAACAATTACTGAGATTAAACCTCTGCATACAGCTCCCTCTACTGCTAATAGGTAGTCCAGAGCTAATCTATTTTGATAGATGGCTGATCTCATCCAAGTATTTTGCTTAGCTAGAAGATTAAGTGCTTGTGCTGTTTCATTGGTGATAATCTCAAACACCACCTGTAGTCCCATAATACGGTTGAGCCTATATATTGGGGTTCTATATCCATAAGTACCATCTTCAGCCCAGGTAGCAGGTCCATAGTAATTTATGATACGTTGGGGAGGCCACTCATCTTCCCAACTACCTATATTCAAGGATGCTCGCTTCTTTTTATGATTCACATCATAAACCTTAACTCCCAAGGTCTCTCCTGTCTCAATTGGCAACAAGAAGAAGGATGGTTTGAGCGTACCTAATACACATGCCCCTTCCCAATCTTGTGGTATCTCTGAATATGCTTTCTTACCACAGATCCAGTACTAATTCACTGGGGCCTTCCAATTGGATATAGCAGATAAGTCAAACCATACCTCTTTTAAATTGGTGTAATTGGCAAACGGATTAGTAGGTTCCGAGACATTTGAAGCTAGATATCAAGTAGTATCTTTTGTATCAGCATTATAGGCCTTCTGTCCTAAGCAGGTTAACTCTCCAACAGATGTTTTATACAGTGGCCCTCTTCTAGCTAAACGTACATGGCCTATGATAGATGTTTTTAATAGCCATTCTGATTTACCTCTAGTACTTACTTGATGATCAGACTGAGAAAGCATCTGTTGTTCATCTGTCCCAGAACCAGGGTACCAAGCCTATCTTGTCTCCCATTGCCATTGGTCTCCCATATTAGTACCTCCACATACTAAGCAGTTAGTTATATTAAGACTACCTGCAATACTCTCTGCCAAATCAATACATAAGTTCTTAACATTATGGGGAATTTTATCCTCAACACTCATCTCCTCATAGAAGGAATGAAAAACCTGATGAGTTTGAGAAGCTGTCATCTCAGTTTCAAGACCTACATATATTATGGTCCCTGGATCTACTCCTGTACCATGTATTTTGAAACCCAAAGAGATTCCCAAACTTGTCAATGAAGTGCTGTGGATTGGATATGGTCATATGCACAGGGTTACACTCATTAGTTTTACAATACGGTGTAGTGGGCAACCTTTGGATAATCATATCTTGATCTACTGTCTTTCCCCAGGTCACCCAACCTACACATTACCAATAGGGGCAGAAGTTAAAGTCTCTATTTGGGCAGTCAGGATCAGTAGCTCTTTTACTGGGACATAAATATTTATCATTGTGACGAGACCAATCTCGCCACATTGCATTGGAGAAGCCTGGTTGCTCGCCTGCTGCCTCTGGACTATGGCCCCCTTTTAAAAGACTTTATTTTGCCTGCAGAAAAGCTGTATTCGTGCTTTTCTGATGGTTGTTCGGTAGATTCAATCTACCGAACAACCGCATGAATGAATAGACCACCTGGGAGCTGGAGTGTGCCGGCAATTAACCTCCCTGAAGCTGCGGTTAACCTCAGCTTAATTGACGAATGCTGGGTGGCCGCCATTCGTATCCCGAACACGAGGTCGCAGCCATTTTAAACATACGAATGCACAGCGGTGTTCGCCCCTATTTTCATGGAACTAAAATCGGACACAGTTTTGCGCGAACACCGCTGAAGCCGCCGACCTCCCTTCTTGTTCGGTGGAAGTGCACGAACGGCCCGGTGTTCGGTAGTTTTGTTCGAATGTGTTATACCCCAGATAGGAATCCCATGGAGCCCATTCGTATGAAACTGACTGTGTAAAGACTTTGGCTCCATGGCGATTAAACTGTATTCGTGTGGTCTGAGCGCCATTTGCTTAATAATGTGCGCTCAGACCTGAGCTATCTGGGGATATGTTACATGTATATATTTACTGTACCATTTCAATCTACCGAACAACCGCATGAATGAATAGACCACCTGGGAGCTGGAGTGTGCCGGCAATTAACCTCCCTGAAGCTGCGGTTAACCTCAGCTTAATTGACGAATGCTGGGTGGCCGCCATTCATATCCCGAACACGAGGTCGCAGCCATTTTAAACATACGAATGCACAGCGGTGTTCGCCCCTATTTTCATGGAACTAAAATCGGACACAGTTTTGCGCGAACACCGCTGAAGCCGCCGACCTCCCTTCTTGTTCGGTGGAAGTGCACGAACGGCCCGGTGTTCGGTAGTTTTGTTCGAATGTGTTATACCCCAGATAGGAATCCCATGGAGCCCATTCGTATGAAACTGACTGTGTAAAGACTTTGGCTCCATGGCGATTAAACTGTATTCGTGTGGTCTGAGCGCCATTTGCTTAATAATGTGCACTCAGACCTGAGCTATCTGGGGATATGTTACATGTATATATTTACTGTACCATTTGTCCCATTATGTATTTTAAAGTGATAGTCTGTCTTTGTGTCCCCACGTGTGTAATGGAGTTTTGCCTTTGTCCTGGGAGATAATTGAATTACTTCTCCAGGGCAGAGGGGAGGAAGCCAGGATGCATTGTGGGGATGTTTTACTTCTGTATGTCTGTAATTGGTACATGTCTGTCTTTTGTTACAGTCTTCCATCTGGTCCCCTACGGGAGTGTCCACCAGGTGGGAGACCTGCATAAATACTGGGCAGGTAGCCCTCATTAAACAGACCACTGCTTGACCCTCAACACGGAGCTCTGTCTCGTCTTTGGGGGGATTTACTGTCTGCTACTAAGGACTGATTGCCAGGAGTGTAAGCCGCTTGGGAGCTTTTCCTGTTCGTCTGTTGACAGCTATTCATGAGGTTCCAGTTCGGGAGTTTGGAGTGCTACCTTATTCCCTTGTATGCAGTTCGGGAGTTTGGTGCATTCACTTGTATTCAATTCGTGAGTTTTGGTGATTCTACAGTAGCTGTGCCTGTCTCTAAAAGGGGATTATCGTCTAAGCGGTTTATATCCCTTTTGTGCAAAACGGTCCGTTACAATCATTAAACCCATAAATTCGTTCCCATTTAAGATTACCACATATATTCCAAAGTTTTCAACTACTATCGCCTTACATGCATCAAATAATAGAATACCCATAGAATGTATGGTGCTTATCACAGTCTTATTTATTAAGGTCCCCTGGGAGTTACTTTTCTGAATTACCAACCAAATTGTACGGGGTTGGAATTGGGGATCGAAACACTTGGGCTCACCTGATATCGGTTGACACACACTATAATCAGTATCTAAGTACCTACACCTAGACACAGATCCTTTACATTTATATTGTGAGTGCCAAATTAGGGTCTGGGATATCTGGTTACCTGTTTTCATAGTCTTAATACAACTAACACAGCTTGGAATATCCTTACCTTTATCTTGAAAAATTATAAAAATACTAAAACACATAATTAAGCACATCATTCTTGTGGTCCTCATCTTTATTCTTCAACCGTGCGACGGCACCTCAGCTTCCCGCTTGTGAGGGCTGCAAGGATTGTTGTACTTCTGACCCTCACCTTCACAGAGGTCCGTTCGAGACACTCTGGCTATGAAACATAGGCAGGTGGTCAGGCTTTATTATGGCCGTCAAAACACCTACTTGCTGATCTCTGATGTTACTTTCAACCACGATTCTTCAAAAATCACCTCATACTTCTCAAGTCACGCTCAATTCGACTGGGCCATGCGCTTCAACCGGATCTTTCAAGGATTCTCACAATCTGGAGTAGCTTGCCAGGAATCTGCCGCTGGTTTAACCCTAGAGTGATGAATCCGAGGAGTCACTTCCGCCACCTACAGCTGTTGGGGTAGATAAAAGAACAACATACGAAGGCTAACAGGATACACTCCAAGCTTTAACTCAATATGTATTGGTGGGATGTTACGGGCAAGTCCTGGAGGATTATTTTCTGCCCATACTCCTGGAATGTTAAATACAGATCCATCACTCGTTGGGTTTGCTTTTATTATTACAGAATAGAAACGCCATTCTTCTTCTTTTGGCACCAATACCGCTATTATGCCAGGTGATTTATTAAACTTCAGAGACGTTGATCCATTAGGTAGAAAAGTTATCTGAGATTGAAGCTTTGATAATAGATCTCGTCCTAGAAGTTAAACTGGACACTCCGACATGTATAGGAAATGGTGCTTAACAAAATGGCCTCCTAAAATGCATGTACGACTCCTGAGAATCGGTCTAGCAGCACTTTTCCTAGTAGCTCCTATCATAGTTACAGTCTTCTCAGAAGGAGGAGCTACCAATTTGGTCACCATAGAATGTTCAGCAAGTCTATCATGAAAGGACTTCTCTTTCCCCCTATTGATACATCGGCCATAGGCTCCGCTCGGCCAAGGGGGATGGAACCCGGTCGGGATGGAACCATGATAGTGTCAGCCAGACCTACGAAAATTTCTATCTTCCCTATCCCTAGGTCTCTGGGTAGGGGGATAATATCTACCTCCCTGCACACTCACTCTGCTATTCCCATTATTTCCTCCAAACTTCCTCTACCTCGTCCTCTATAGCTGTTACCATAACCACCTTGCCCTCTTCTCTCTTCTTGTCTACCACCTGCAATATATCCCCTCTGTGGACAGTCACTCTTCCAATGCCCTTCCTCTCTACAATATGCACATTGATCTCAACCTAGTGGTACCCTGCTCATCCTATTCTCAACTCCTCTATTCATCTCTCCTCCTTCTCTAGCTACGCCTGAAATAGCTACCACTAACATGTCTATTTTCTTCCTCATCTTACATTCCTCCTCACGCTTTGTCCCAGTTTCCCTATTCATATACACCTTATTTGCAACCTCCATTAGCTGTGATATGGATATCCCTGCAAATCCCTCTAAATTTTGTAGCTTTCTTTTAATATCGCTCTGGGCCTGGCTGACAAATGCTGAGTCTATCATTCAGAAGTTTTCAGGGGCTTCAGGATTGAAAGGAGTGTACAATCTATTTGACTCAAGCAGTCTCTCATAAAAAACACTTCAGCTGTCCTGGACATGTTAATTGCTTTTTTCCCACCTGCCTTCATGCAAGTAATAATGGCTTGTTGATAGGCCTTTAGATGGATCATGTCAGCGCCATTTACGTTCCAAAGGTCAGTAATAATTGCTGACAATCAGCCCAGGTGGGATTGTGTGTTTGTATAATGGAGGTAACCAAATCTGTCATGACTTGAGGTTTGTCGTTAGGAGTTATGAGTCTTCCAATTGAATAGATCAGTTGTGGTGAAGGGAACATAGACAAACACAGGATCTGCCCGTTGTATTTGGCCATTTTGGTCAACGTGTGTTGGACCTGGTGTAAGTCGGAGGGGCATCTGGCAATGTCGGGATGGAAGGGCACCAGTCAGTTGTCAGGTTAGTATGGGACTTCGGCAAGGCTGCTCAGTAATAGGTTCCGGTCTGGGAGTAGTAAGATAGGTGAAAGGGGGTGAGCTGATTTTACTAGTCCGCATTTTGTGGATGGAAAAAAATAAAAAACCTAACTTTTAATATTTCTATGCATAAAATAAAACCTTATAGCAATAAATATATTAAAATAGGGTAAGCAGTCCTACTTCTGTCTGTTATATGCCAGTATAGAGTTAAAGATGATTAAACAATGTAATATCAATGTAACTCCCGAAGATGGTCAGTAGGTGGCGCTAGAGTGCCTCCCTAAAGTCTAATGAAGCAGATAGACTTTAAATATGTGCTTATTTTATTATTACTTATTTTAATCACTGTTCACCCTGATATCTAGGCTTGAGTAAAGCTTTAGTTCTAAGGTAAATTAAACATCTCAGTTTGTATTTTAGTAAAGGGGATATTTTGGACAAAGCTGGGAGGGGCCCATCCAGTAACTAAAAAAGGATAAAAGTGTACTCTAGCATCTAATACCATTGATCATTTCTTCCAGTTGTATTTTAGACTGTCACTGAATGCACACAGTGTTCAGTAGTTTTAGTGCTATTTCAGTGATTTTGGTACAATGTCATTGCTGAGAATTCTCTGATCCAATAGACTCAGTTACTGTTATTAAGAATTCTCCTCACAATTTAACTGTAAAATAAAATTCAATGCTAAAATACACTTGTAGCGGAGAGGTAGTATATTCCACAGTATCTCCGCTGGTAGACAGGAGCAGCATATAATAATCCAGGTATAACAAGCACAGCATACAATAATCCTGGTAGCGTTGTATAAATCCTTCCTTCCCAAGAACTAGACGACACATAGGCTGGGAGTCAACTGAGCTTTTAATCACAGGTAACAGTATTTATGTGGTTTCCCATGCAAGGGGTTTCCCTACTGACTTTACAGGGGTTGTACAGTAGGGGACTACATGGGGAACTTAACAACCAAGGCCTTTCTCCCACCATGCACTGCTGCACGAGAGGGATACTCCCACTAGAATATCCTGTTAAGTGAATTATCCCTCCGTGCAGCAGAACTGGCTTTTTACATAAAAATATACAACTTTAACATTATTCATACTATATTAACGAATGACCGTTCGGTAGATAGCTGGGGTCTGGGCGCACATTTCGTGAAAGTACTGCTCAGTTCCCAGCACATCCAGCCGAACGCTGCATGAATTACACTTCAATATACATTTTGCATAAAAGACACAAATATACCCGCAGGGATAAAATACCGAAAGACCGGTACTCCCGAACGGCCTGGAAGTCCAGCGGTATTCGTGCCGTCGAGTAGCCGATTTTAGTTCCAGGCACTCGAAGACAAAATACCGCTGGGCTAACAAAGGATCCAAGATGGCCGACCGCCGCGTGGTCGCTATCTGAACGGCGGCCACCCTGAATCTATAATAACTACCGAAAGCTACAATGTTGCAATATTTAATGGGAGCCACACGACCTCCTGTGTGTGGTCTCCCATTCGGTAGATTTGTTCGTTTCACGAACAGTGTTGAAATTCACTGTTCGTGAAACTACTGTATGAATACTGGTGGCTTTCATGCCGCCAGCATACGAATGCTCTTGTTTGCATAAAATACAGATACATGGCTATACTTGGTTCTAACAGCCTTAAAGCTACATCATATTAATGCAAATACAGTTCTAAGTGGCTAGTTTTGCCACAATGCTCCCCCAGAACCAAGCCGGCATACACAGTCTGATCCCAACGGATTGGCTTGGGGGTGTCCGGAGGAGTACTCACAGGATCACTTTTCAAGGTCTGTCTGTCTGGATAACCCGTTGCGTTGCCATTTTGCTTCCCTGGGCGGTAGTGGATTGTAAAGTCAAAAGGCTGCAGCGCCAAACTCCAGCGCAGCAGCCTGGCATTGTCTCCTGACACCCTGTTCAGCCACACCAATGGGTTGTGATCTGTGAGCAATGTAAAGGGTTGCCCATACAAATAGGGCTGCAGCTTTTTGAGGGCCCACACAACAGCCAGGCATTCCTTTTCGATGGCAGCGTAGCTTACTTCTCCGGGTAAAAGTTTTCTGCTGAGGTAAGCCACTGGGTGCTCGCCGCCATCTGCTCCGACTTGACTCAGTACTGCTCCCAATCCAAACATAGAAGCGTCTGTATGGACGAGAAAGCGTTTAATTGGATCAGGCGCAGAAAATACAGGTGATTTAGTAAGCGCCGTCTTGAGCCGTTGGAATGCCTGTTCACACTCTGGGGCCCATACCACTATCTTAGGGAGGTTCTTACGGGTTAAGTCGGTGAGGGGTTTGGCTAGGGTGCTGTAGTTGGACACAAATTTGCCATAGTACCCTGCGGTAACTAGGAACGCAAGGACTTGCGTCTTGGTGCGGGGGGTTGGCCACTTGGCGACTGCCTCTATTTTAGCGGGTTCTGGCTTCTGTTGACCACTTCCTACCCTATGTCCTAGGTACTGGATCTCTGCCATCCCTACGTGGCACTTACTGGGTTTGAGGGTCAGTCCTGCCTCCCTAATCCGGTCTAGTACGGCTCCTATGTGGGTCAGGTGTTCAGTCCAGGAGTGGCTGAAAATGGCTATATCATCTAGATAGGCGCAAGCATACTCCTGAAACCCATCCAGTAGCCGATCTACCATCTGTCACTTTTTCATCCGCTTATAAAAATGTGGTTAATTACATTTACTGTCAACACAGGAAAAGTTGTGCTGAGCAGCAACCTAATCCACAGAAGGGTTAATGCTGAGCATCAATTATGCAAATGAAACCTGGTAACTGACTTTGGGGTCAAAGGCCGGTTACAGCCTATCAGATCTAGAGGAGGGGTATTTAGGCCCAGTTCTCAGCCTGCTCAGTGCCCTGTCGTGGTTTCCCTTGTGGTTGTCTGAGAGCGCGTTCCTGTTTATAGTTTTCTACCTGGTTTTGACTTTGGCTTTGTTTATTGACTTCTCTATATTCTGGTATCCTGACTCCTGGCTTTCCTCATCGCTGTGTCCCTTTCTGTGTTCCCTTACCTCGGCTAGTATTTTTGACTATTCTTTGTACGTTAAATCCGGCCATTCTAAGGACCGGTAATACGTTACTTATTTGTCATTGTAACGGATCACCTGGCACCGACTGGGTACCTCCATTGAAGGATGCTCCTAAGCGCTTCTGAGGGACTCACTGCAGCAGACACAATAACCACTGAACGGAGAAACGCTCACATGCTCTCAAGCATATGAATGCTGTAAACAGCTAGTTTTGGGAAAAGCTATACAATCAGCTTACCTCGGCAATCAGCATACAATCCAATTCCCCCCAATAACGAGACTGACACACTTCGTTTTTGAGGTCAGAAGAACTGACTGGACTGGCACATACAGCCTCTTTTATTCACAATCCACAAACATAGTACTGCCCACAGGGTTTTGAAATACAACCAATCAATCCGTACAATACACACAGACACTCCCACACAAAATCCTCCCCTCTGCCTGTGATATGATTACTGAACACAATGGTTAATATAATTATCACAGGCAGAGAACTACAGTATTATAAAACATATCAGAGGGACCCCAAAACATGCAATAACCCCATAAAAAGTATATCCTCAGAACCGGGGGTAACCGGGGGGAACCACATATCCAAAATTCACCCAGATCCGTTCAGTAGTTTGGAAGATACAGTTTAAGAAGAGATATGTGATACCACCTATGTGATCGGTCTGGCCACAAGCGCGGGGGGCAAACGCATGTTTCATACCATGAGCGTACCGAAGAGGTAACCGTGTTCTGCGCGCCAGCTACCGACTTTGATAATCTGCCTCTCCCAGACCTCCTAGACCAAGAGGGCCAGGACAGAGACCTGGGAGAAGTACGGTTAGGGGAGCGTTTAAGTCCCCAGCTTAAGTCCAAAGCTTAATCCGGGAAGAACGGGCCACCTTTTCCAATCTGCCCGGGTACACCCCATTGGCCACTCACAAGGTAGAAACCCTAGAACAGACCTCGCTTCACCAACCTCCTTACCGCATACCAGAATCCGTAAACATAGAAACATAGAATGTGACGGCAGATAAGAACCATTCGGCCCATCTAGTCTGCCCAATTTTCTAAATACTTTCATTAGTCCCTAGCCTTATCTTATAGTTAGGATAGCCTTATGCCTATCCCACGCATGCTTAAACTCCTTTACTGTGCCTCCTATCACTTCAGCTGGGGCTGTTTCCATGCATCCACACTACCCTCTCAGTAAAAGTAATACTTCCTGATATTATTTTTTAAACCTTTGTCCCTCTAATTTAAGACTATATCCTCTTGTTGTGGTAGTTTTTCTTATTTTAAATATAGTCTCCTCCTTTACTGTGTTGATTCCCTTTATATATTTAAATGTTTCTATCATATCCCCCCTGTCTCGTCTTTCCTCCAAGCTATACATGTTAAGATCCTTTAACCTTTCCTGGTAAGTTTTATCCCGCAATCCATGAACCAGTAAAGGAAAGCGTGCGTAAGGAGATTGATGAGATGTTGCAGTTAGGGGTGATAGAACATTCTGACAGCTCCTGGGCCTCCCCGGTAGTGCTAGTACCGAAACAGGACGGGACGACCCGTTTCTGTGTAGACTACCGGAGGCTCAACGACAAAACGATCTCCGACGCTTACCCTATGCCCCGGATAGATGAGCTCCTAAACAAAATGGCCAGGGGCCAGTACCTCACCACAATAGATTTGTGTAAAGGGTAATGGCAAATTCCGCTAGCTGAAGACACCATCCCCAAGTCAGCGTTTTTCACCCCGTTTGGCCTGTACTAGTTTAATGTCATGCCATTCGGGATGAAAAACACCCCGGCTACCTTTCAGAGGATGGTGTCAGGATTACTGTTTGATCTAGCACGTAGAACTGTATAGCACGGATGACTGTGGCGGAACCAGCCTTGCCACTGGGCATTGGAGAAGACTGTTTGCCAGCCTCCTGCCCTGCGACTATGGCCCTGAGATGTATTGCCCTTCTAGGAACTGATTTGGGCATAATAGATTTTTATAATGCTGCTGCTGGCCCTTTAAGAACCATCTGGGGACATACTGTGGAGTTACTGGGTGGCCACCATTTCATGTATCAGAGGCACATGGTGAGAACAATGGATGAAGCACATGGTGAGAACAATGGATGGCGGCCATTTTAACTCCCAGACACGGTTTTGACTTTTCTACACGGTGCCATCTCGCCAGTATTTGGTACACAAAGACATCGTTCAGAAGTTTTAAACTACAGAACAGGGGACACATTTAACAGTAATTATTTTTCATATAGTCTGTATACGTTCTGCAGAATCTGCATTAAATCGTATCTTCCAAACTACTGAACGGATCTGGGTGAATTTTGGATATGTGGTTTATTTTTTATGGGGTTATTGCATGTTTTGGGGTCCCTGTAATATGTTTTATAGTACTGTATTTTCCTGCCTGTGATAATTAAGTTAGTCTATTGTGTTGAGATAATTTTATCACAGGCAGAGAGGAGGATTTCTGATGTAATGAATGGGAGTGTTAGCTGTGTTGTAATGTGTTGATTGGTTGTTCTTCAAAACCCTGTGGGCAGTACTATGTTTGTAGAATGTGAATAAAAGAGGCCTGGAGCTGCAGCTCCATCACCCCCTATGTTAATCCGGACCTGCATGCAGCTCCTCCAGGGATGGTCAGCAATGTGTGCAGGGAGGATGGAGGACAGGCAGCAGCACCAGGTAACGGCAAGGACAGAGGGACATGGGGAGGAAGACATAAATGGGGAGGGAGACAAGAGAGCAAAGGGGATTAGGAAGGGAGACATCAATAGAGGCTGGGGAAAAGACAGAGAGACACACAAGTGAGAGTTACTAGAGAGAGAGCAGACTTACTAAAGAGAGAAAGAGGTAAAGGGAAATAAAAAAAAAAAAGAAATACAATAAGTTACTAGAGAGAAACAGAGAGATAGTGAGAGTTACTAAAGAGAGAAAGTGAGTTGCTAAATAGATAGTCAGAGCTGGGAAAGATAGAGAGACGTGGGTCTGGTAATCTGAGAGATAAAAGTAGGTAGGTGAATTATTGCAATAGGAAGATCTGAAGTGACAAAACAGAGATGTCCATTAAAGGCACTTTGTAGTTACTGTGGATCTTAGATTAGCTCCCTCTGAATTCACACACACTGTTTCACTTTAACACAAACCACTGCATTAAAGGGAACTATAGTGCCAGGAAACAAACTCATTTTATTGGCAGTATAGCTTCCCCCCCTGTGGTGCAGAAAGGGTTAATAACTCCTTCTGTCACTTACCTGGGTCCCTCGGCGCTGGCTCATGCTATACACACACTCCTTTGTGTATATATATACACACACACGCCTATGAACCTACAGGTGATGGTGACTACCGTCACAGTAACCTTCTCTCATCCTGGGCTATGCTAACATTGACATTCTCCGCTCCTCCTGGGATGTACAAACATTGAAATCCTGTGAGCTTCCAATGTTAGAAGAAATGAGTCAAAAGGTTGAGGGTAGAAAACACAATTGTGAAGTAATACCAGGGCCAGATTAAGAGCCCAGTGGACCTGGAGCTGACAATTATCATGGGCCTAATTACAGAATCTTATCAACCAAAAACATTAAAACAACCATACCTCCCACCCGTCGTGTATCTGATGGAGATGGTAATTGATTAAATTTATCTTTATGAGGAGATGCTGATTGGCAAGGGCTATGTTTGACTTGTGCTGGCTGTGCCCCTGATCTGCATAGTTGACAGTCTCAGCCAATCTTATGGGAAAGCATTGTAATTTGCTCAGACCACCACTTCTGATGATGTCAGTTCAGAGGCAGAGCCAGCATTTTCAGACTTTACTATATATGTATGAAGGCAAGAGGGTGTGAGGGGAGCTAGATGGTGGTCCCCATGTCGCCCAGTCCCATAGTCTCCCAGTGTCCCCATTTCTCCCAGTGTCCCCATGTCTCAGCGTGTCCCCTAGGGACACTGAGAGACATGGGGACACAGACACTGGGAGACTAGGGGAAACTGGGAGCCATGTGAACACTGAGCCATTTGGGACACTGGCTGGGGAACATGGGGACGCATGGGGACACTGTGTCCCCAGTGTCTCCATGTCCCAATGTCTCAGTGTCTCCCAATGTCCCTATGTCTCACAGCGTCCCCTAGTGTCTCAGTGTCACGATGTTTGCCAGTGTCCACAAGTATCTTAGTGTCCCCAGATCTCCCAGTGTCCCCTAGTGTCTGTGTCCCCATGTGTCCCCTAGTGTCTCAGTATCCCCATGTTTCCCTGCTGCCTTTCCCCCCCTCCTTCTCTTCCCTGAGCTGTAGTCTGTCTGCAGACTGGGAGCTGCTGTCTGGACTGGACTCTCTGTGCTGTGTAGCTGCTCCCCCACGGATCAGTGAGTAGTAGAGAAAGGCAGGGAGGGATATGCTGTAGCTTCCTATCCCTGCCTCTCTCCACACACAGTGGCTGGTGCTGGTATTGCAGAGTAATCTCCATTTATACTGAGAAAAATACCTGCATTTGTATTGTCGGTATTACTGCAATACCTGCACAGCCAGGCAGCCTCAAATGCCAGCTGTGCCAGTAAAATGCCAGTCAGTTGGTAAACCTAAGAGAAGTGTGTAAAAAAAATAAAAAAAGTAAAAAATTTTTTATTATTATTATTTTTTTTTAAATGGGCCTATTCCATGGGCCTGTGCCTGGAGCTGCAGCTCCATCAGCCCCTATGTTAATCCGGCCCTGAGTAATACAAATGTATCCACGATTGTGCCAGTATAAAGTGTATCCTACACAGGGAGTATGATTAAGTTATAACCTAAAAGCAATGTTTTACCATCACTATGTTTTGAATGTGGAGAATAGAAGACAGTGAGTAAAGTATAGATTAGATACAAATCATTAGGTTGATTAGAAACAAGATATCTGGAGAGACCCTTCCGTAAAGAAGGGAAGGTGAGAGAAGTGTCCAGGTGCAAGCTTGGTATATCTCGTTGGGTCATGCTCACAGAGTTCATTTTAATTCGGATGAAATGGCGGCAGGCACTACTATCATTTCTCATTTTCACAATGTTTTCTCCTGGTGTTCAACTAACTTTCACTTACACGGAGGAAAACCAAACATGGTGGGAAAGGTCAGTGAAACGGCTGCTGAGCCTTCAGTGAATAAAGTGTTCGATACTCCAGAAAATATCTATAAAGTTTGACATATTTAACTAATAGGACATCAGAGTTTTTATTTTTATTAATTGTCCTTCATAGTAAATCACAAAAAAATAAGCATGTGTTCAGCTTTTGCAATTATTTGCCAGGTTTTTTTTTTTTCTTTAATTTTGTTTGGCAGAAATAGTTTGAGAAGAATTACATATCATTTACTTTTTCAAAATCTAATTTTTATTGGAGGTTTTTTTTAATGCAATAACCATGAACATAATGTCTTTATATAATAATCCTTTCAAGTTTTGAAAGGAAATCATTTTTTTCAGAATTCTTTCTTTCGTTGTATATGATACCACACGTTTTTGTTGTTATTTGCCAACCATAGATTGGAACACAATTTAGTATGGTTAGATAACGCATATAGAAACCAAATCGTCCATAAATGAATTTAGATTATCACTAAGGACGATCTTTGAATAATAATACGAGAATGTTTGTAGGTAGGGGTTTTAAATGATTGGTTATGGAGGCCTATTCAGTAGAATGAAATGTCGTAAGTGGAGCCCTGCAGCTGTAGAGATTGTGCCTCCTTTTCTGACTTGGACTTGGTCTCTTTCACCCTGCTGAGGTTTTAATTAACCGGACCCATAATTCCCTGTTGCACCAGGAGAGGTATAGGTGGCACTTGGAGACTTCGCAGGAAGTCTCTTGGGTTCTCTAAAGGTGACAGGGCTGGCACATTGTCTCTGTGGTGCACCCCTATGGTTTCTGAAGCTCTCCATTGGTATCTGATGCTATGTTATCTCAGGAGCTTAGTGACTGGCATAAACCTGCATCTCTCCATCAGGACAGAGAAAGGTAAGTCATCAAAAACTTTAATCGTACACTTGTCCACTGCAATGCTGGGATGTTCTCTAGAGCGGCCATAGTTGCCAGTTTCATAGTAATGTCTTCAGTGACTGTGATAATAATCCCTGGGTTCATCCAGAGGGGCTGCCGGTGCCATCCTGACTCTGAAGGCTGACACTATAGTTGACAGTCCCCCTTCCCCTCTCACCTCCATTGTCTGTGTCACCTTGTGTATAAAATCCAGCAAGGCCTCTGGGCCTACCAATTCTGGTTCTCTGCAGATCCGAACATTTCTCCGTCGATGCCATGCCTCCAGTAATGCCGCAGTATGGGAGAGTCACTGGACCTGGAGGGTAAGTGATTTTGCATGTGTTGTTTCTCACGCTCCCCTTCACGAGACTCAATATCCCCAAAACGTTGTGCAAACCACCAATCTCCTTCTGCACCATAGAAAGGTTGGTTTCTTGATGTCCCCTTTTGGGAAGGGATATGAGTCCACATCTAGGTCGGTGCTCTGGTACACACCTCATGTGTCCTGTGAGGCATGGTATCTTCCATCTTCAATCCAGGGGCCAAGTTAGGTAAGGGGAATCTCATGCTTTTTGTGTTATTATTGTTCTTAAAATTGTTTCATGTTTCAGGTGCAATAAACGGGTATAATGACATTTTCCAATTGACTCCTTTTTCGGATCTCTTTAACCCCTTAAGGACACATGACATGTGTAAAATGTTATGATTCCCTTTTATTCCAGAAGTTTGGTCCTTAAGGGGTTAAATTTTGTTAAATTGGATTAAATATCTGTGGAAAAAAATGACAGCTGTCGTGCTGTAGAATAAACCATATAGCATAGTATTGTCATATTAACCGTTTTCATAAAAATCAAAGTGGTTGCGCTTTAATTGGCCAACAAACAGTTAATTTGTAACAAATTTGTTATTTTTGCTGTTCTGGCCACAAGAGGGCAGCATCACTCAGCTGTGGCTTTTGAAATGTAAACATTTACAAATAGGCTGCTTATTTGTAACACACTGGTATAAGGTGTCATTATTATCATTAATATCATTTACAAGGGGCCAAAATATTCTGATAAATAAATACAATTATTGAATGTGTATATCTGATCACAAGTAATCGAAAGATAAGACACTATTGACAGCTTACACGTTTAGAATCTGTATGGTGTGTTTTATTTAGAATATTTATATAATATTTTATATGATGTGTTTTATAAAGAGTGTCTCTTGTATCCCTCACTGGCTGGTTTCAGGGGGTAATCTGTCTCTTGTACCCCTCACTGGCAGGTTTCAGGGGGTATTCTGTCTCTTGCACCCCTCACTGGCTGGTTTCAGGGGGTAATCTGTCTCTTGTACCCCTCACTGGCAGGTTTCAGGGGGTATTCTGTCTCTTGTACCCCTCACTGGCTGGTTTCATGGGGTATTGTGTCTCTTGCACCCCTCACTGGCTGGTTTCAGGGGGTAATCTGTTTCTTGCACCCCTCACTGGCTGGTTTCAGGGGGTAATCTGTCTCTTGTACCCCTCACTGTCTGGTTTCAGGGGGTATTCTGTCTCTTGCACCCCTCACTGGCTGGTTTCAGGGGGTAATCTGTCTCTTGTACCCCTCACTGGCAGGTTTCAGGGGGTATTCTGTCTCTTGTACCCCTCACTGGCTGGTTTCATGGGGTATTGTGTCTCTTGCACCCCTCACTGGCTGGTTTCAGGGGGTAATCTGTTTCTTGCACCCCTCACTGGCTGGTTTCAGGGGGTAATCTGTCTCTTGTACCCCTCACTGGCTGGTTTCAGGGGGTATTCTGTCTCTTGCACCCCTCGCTGGCTGGTTTCAGGGGGTAATCTGTCTCTTGCACCCCTCACTGGCTGGTTTCAGGGGGTAATCTGTCTCTTGCACCCCTCGCTGGCTGGTTTCAGGGGGTATTCTGTCTCTTGCACCCCTCGCTGGCTGGTTTCAGGGGGTAATCTGTTTCTTGTACCACTCACTGACTGGTTTCAGGGGGTGTTCTGTCTCTTGCACCCACTCACTGACTGGTTTCAGGGGGTGTTCTGTCTCTTGTACCCCTCACTGGCTGGTTTCAGGGGGTAATCTGTTTCTTGTACCACTCACTGACTGGTTTCAGGGGGTGTTCTGTCTCTTGTACCCCTCACTGGCTGGTTTCAGGGGGTAATCTGTCTCTTGCACCCCTCACTGACTGGTTTCAGGGGGTGTTCTGTCTCTTGCACCCCTCACTGGCAGGTTTCAGGGGGTAATCTGTTTCTTGTACCACTCACTGACTGGTTTCAGGGGGTGTTCTGTCTCTTGTACCCCTCACTGGCTGGTTTCAGGGGGTAATCTGTCTCTTGCACCCCTCACTGACTGGTTTCAGGGGGTGTTCTGTCTCTTGCACCCCTCGCTGGCTGGTTTCAGGGGGTATTCTGTCTCTTGCAACCCTCACTGGCAGGTTTCAGGGGGTAATCTGTCTCTTGTACCCCTCACTGGCTGGTTTCAGGGGGTAATCTGTCTCTTCTACCCCTCACTGACTGGTTTCAGGGGGTGTTCTGTCTCTTGCACCCCTCGCTGGCTGGTTTCAGGGGGTATTCTGTCTCTTGCACCCCTCGCTGGCAGGTTTCAGGGGGTAATCTGTCTTTTGTACCCCTCACTGGCTGGTTTCAGGGGGTATTCTGTCTCTTGTACCCCTCGCTGGCTGGTTTCAGGGGGTATTCTGTCTCTTGCACCCCTCACTGGCTGGTTTCAGGGGGTATTCTGTCTCTTGCACCCCTCACTGGCTGGTTTCAGGGGGTAATCTGTTTCTTGCACCCCTCACTGGCTGGTTTCAGGGGGTAATCTGTCTCTTGTACCCCTCACTGGCAGGTTTCAGGGGGTATTCTGTCTCTTGTACCCCTCACTGGCTGGTTTCATGGGGTATTGTGTCTCTTGCACCCCTCACTGGCTGGTTTCAGGGGGTAATCTGTTTCTTGCACCCCTCACTGGCTGGTTTCAGGGGGTAATCTGTCTCTTGTACCCCTCACTGTCTGGTTTCAGGGGGTATTCTGTCTCTTGCACCCCTCACTGGCAGGTTTCAGGGGATAATCTGTCTCTTGCACCCCTCACTGGCTGGTTTCAGGGGGTAATCTGTCTCTTGCACCCCTCGCTGGCTGGTTTCAGGGGGTATTCTGTCTCTTGCACCCCTCGCTGGCAGGTTTCAGGGGGTATTCTGTCTCTTGTACCCCTCACTGGCTGGTTTCAGGGGGTAATCTGTCTCTTGTACCACTCACAGGCTGGTTTCAGGGGGTATTCTGTCACTTGTACCCCTCACTGGCTGGTTTCATGGGGTATTCTGTCTCTTGCACCCCTCACTGGCAGGTTTCAGGGGGTAATCTGTTTCTTGTACCACTCACTGACTGGTTTCAGGGGGTAATCTGTCTCTTGTACCCCTCACTGTCTGGTTTCAGGGGGTAATCTGTCTCTTGTACCCCTCACTGACTGGTTTCAGGGGGTGTTCTGTCTCTTGCACCCCTCACTGGCAGGTTTCAGGGGGTAATCTGTTTCTTGTACCACTCACTGACTGGTTTCAGGGGGTGTTCTGTCTCTTGTACCCCTCACTGGCTGGTTTCAGGGGGTAATCTGTCTCTTGCACCCCTCACTGACTGGTTTCAGGGGGTGTTCTGTCTCTTGCACCCCTCACTGGCTGGTTTCAGGGGGTAATCTGTCTCTTGTACCCCTCACTGACTGGTTTCAGGGGGTGTCCTGTCTCTTGCACCCCTCGCTGGCTGGTTTCAGGGGGTAATCTGTCTCTTGTACCCCTCACTGACTGGTTTCAGGGGGTGTTCTGTCTCTTGCACCCCTCACTGGCTGGTTTCAGGGGGTATTCTGTCTCTTGTTGCTACATCTTTTCATCAGTGTGGGGGGCCCCACACTGTGTATTTCTTGACTTTGTTCGAGACAACATTGTTGCTGTTTGTGTGATACATTTATTGTTATTGTATTGATATCAAGCATATTTTGTTGCGTTTGCATATTTAATAAATAATGTACTGTATATTTTACATTTGATTGATTTGTTTATGTTATATCAGTCTATATAATCCCAGAGTGATCAATCAGATCTATATCAGTTTTGTTTAGCAGTTGCTGTTCCGGAGTCCAGTTTTCAAGTAGTGATGATTGGCTGTTTGGAGCGCTCACATACCTTTATTCATTTAACATTATGCTTTAGCAAGTAACAGGCTGCGGTAACGAGTAATATGCTATGGAACGGGTAACTACGGTTACAGGTAACATTCTGTGGTAACGGGTAATATTCTGCAGTAATGGGTAACATGCTGCTGTAATGGGTAACACTCCGCGATAATGGGTAACATGCTGCAGTAACAGGTAACTTGCTGTGGTAACAGGTAACATTCTACGATAATGGGTAATATTCTGCGATAATAGGTAACATTCTACAGTAGCGGCTAATATGCTGAGGTAACGGGTAACGTGCTGCGGTAATGGGTAGCATGCTGCAGTAATAGATAACTCTATGGTAATAGATAACATACTGCACTCACGGATAACATTCTGCGTTAATGGGAAACATGCTGCAGTAACGAGTAACATTCCACGATAATGGGTAACATGCTGCAGTAACGGGTAACTTGCTGTGGTAACCGGTAACATTCTACGGTAACAGGTAATATTCTACGGTAATGGGTAACATGCTGAGGTAATAGGTAACATTCTACGGTAGCGGCTAATATGCTGAGGTAACGGGTAATGTGCTGTGGTAACGGATAACGTGCTGCAGTAATGGGTAACATGCTGCAGTAACGAGTAACATGCTGTGGTAACAGGTAACTACCCGGTAATGGGTAAAAGTCTGTGGTAACTGGTAACATTCTGCAGCAGCGGGTAACATGCTGTGCTAATGTGTAACAGTCTGAGGTAATGGTTAAAATTCTGCAGTAGCAGGTATCATGCTGAGATAACAGGTTATATGCTGAGGTAATGGGTAACATTGTGTGGTAACAGGTAATATGCTGAGGTAATGGGTAACATTCTGAGGTAACGGGTGTAACGGATCGGTTTGCCCAAAAGAGGTTAAAAACCGTTTAGGCAATATTCCCCCTTTTCAGCTGCACCGACAGCTACTGCAAGCACCAATCTCCTGAACTGCAAACCCACAAATTCACCAACTCCCGAACTGCAACCAAGGGAATACTCGAAACTCCCGAACTGGAGACACACGAATAGCTGCTAGCAGACGAACAGGAAAAGCCCCCAAGCGGCTTACACTCCTGGCAATCAGTCTCTAACAGCATACAGTGAATCCTCCCCCAATAATGAGACAACACTTCACTTTGAGGGTTAAGCAGGAACTGGTGTTGTCTTGTAGCTGTCCTCTGGGCTGTGGAAATGATCCCGTCGCTTGCCACCAATTGTAACAGACCGTTTTGCCCACACGAGGTTAAAAACCGTTTAGGCGATATTCCCCTTTCCAGATACACCGATAGCTACTGTAAGCAGCGATCTCCCGAACTGGAAATATCCGAAAAGGAAAACCATACGAAAGGGTTACACTCCTGGCAGTCAGCATACAATCCAATTCCCCCAATAACGAGACAACACTTCGTTTGAGGGTCAAACAGAATCTGTACAATAAATGTCCATAAGCCCAAATCAGTTTTTAAAGGGCAATATATCCCAGGGGCAATAGTCACATGGCAGGAGGCTGGCAAACAGTCTTCTCCAATGACCAGTGGCGAGATCGGTTTCGCCACAACGGGTAATATGCTGAGTTAACGGGTAACATTGTGCTGTAGCAGGTATCATGCTGAGATAACACATAAAATGTCTCTTGTATTATTTACACCGTCTGAGCCATTGATGTAAACCTATTCCACAATGCTGTCTAGTGTAAATGGTATTTTATCAGAACCATTTCTTTATCTGTCTTTCAGTCCTCACTGACTGAGTTCCTGTGTTTAGTGTCAATGAATGAATGCATGGAGTAGACTATTTTCTTACTTAAAATCCATTGTTTCCAGGAAGGAAGCTGTAGCTGTGTGTGATGTCTGTCCTGTGTTTTTATGACACGTTAAAGATGAGAAGGTTTGCATTGAGCTTCTTTACGGAAATAGCGTCTGGATTCACGATTGCAGTCAGGGTTTTAGTGCTCTGTGAGAGACATGTGGATATGTGGCATTAGTAAAAGTTCCAATAAACTCACCTCTTATAAATCAGTTTCCCAACAAGAAGCCCTTTTTTTTTCTTTTTTGGGTTGTGGAAATATTCTGCTACTAAACAGGTTATACTGGAGGCTCCTGGTATTTATTTGAAAAGACATTAAACCGTTGTGTAAGGCCTTTCCTCAATATGACAGCAAACTGCGGAGAGGAAGAGACCAATTTATCAAACTAAGGAAAGCAGCGAAGATTAAACAAAAAAATACCACCAGTCCTGCCGATTTAACTTTCAGTAAAATTCTTGTGATTTATCTGTCACAGTATAATACAGGCAGCAATCTACCCCTCCTGCTGCCACAGGTCGGCCGGCTGTTTAAACTGACCTAGACCCCTACATGTCTAATGAATGAAAACACTTTGTTACTGCACCTTATTCTAGAAAATAATCTGATCTCTGTTTGTATTTACAGGTGCCACCTGAATGACATAGAGAATATCATTCCTTTCGTTGGGATTGGTCTGGTGTACGTTCTGTCTAATCCAGATCTCCTTACAGCTTTGCTGCATTTCCGAATATTCGCTGGTTCGAGAATCTTCCACACTATCGCCTATTTAATGCCACTTCCCCAGCCTAGCCGTGCCCTCAGCTGGGCGATTGGCTACGCTGTCACCATTTCTATGGCATACAGAGTTTTGCAGAACATTTTATATTTGTAAATGGCACACCCGACGATTAACAAATGATCTAAAATATTTTCTTGCACAATATTTTTATGGTGGAATTTAGAAACCAATTGTGAATATTTGACATTCAGTATATTTGAAAAAGCTGAGAATTCAAACTGTCTGTTAGAAGTCTGCATACAGAAAATATGTAATTTCTTTATAGAGAAGTAAATTCAATAAACCTGTTCCACATTTTCATTGTGAGTCAGTCCTATCAGCTTATAAATACATGGCTTGATAAGATCCAGATTGGTGGGATGCAGGAAGCAGTAAATCTGTCATATGAAAACCCACCATTGCTGTACGGTGATTACACAACATTCCATGTTATAAATCCACCATTGCTGTACAGTGTTAACACAAAATGAAGACCAGGAAAAAGCAGACATTTTAAATAACTATTTTTCTTCAGTATATATTAATGAGGGTCCTATGGCAAAAGATATACAAATGATTGCTGCAAACAACTTGCAGACAACTTGTGATTGGATAACTTGAGATAAGGTGCTACAGCTATTAAAGAAAATTAATGTAAATAAAGCTCCGGGGCCTGACGGTATTCACCCACGGGTACTTAAGG